AGAGAGAGGAGATGAGGAGAGAGGAGGAGGAAGAGAGGAGAGAGAGAGGACTGAGAGAGAGAAGAGAAAGATGAGAGGACTGAGAGGAAGAGGGAAGAAGAAGGGAGAGGAGAGAGGACGAAGAAGGGAGAGAGAGAGAGAGAGAGAGAAGAGAGAGAGAGAGAGAGAGAGAGAAGAGAGAGAGAGAGAGAGAGAGAGAGAGAGAGAGGAGAGAAGAGGAGACTGAGGAGAAGAGAGAGAGAGAGAGAGAGAGAGAGAGAGAGAGAGAGAGAGAGAGAGGAGAGAGAGAGAGAGAGAGAGAGACTGAGAGAGAGAGAAGAGAGAGAGAGAGAGAGACTGAGAGAGAGAGAGAGAGAGAGAGAGAGAGAGAGAGACAGAGAGAGAGAGAGGAGAGAGAGAGAGAGAGAGAGAGAGAGAGAGAGAGAGAGAGAGAGAGAGAGAGAGAGAGAGAGAGAGAGAGAGAGAGAGAGAGAGAGAGAGACAGAGAGAGAGAGAGACAGAGAGAGAGAGAGAGAGAGAGAGAGACTAAAGGTATGTACTTTAAGACGTTTTCTAGTATTCCAGTAATAACAAATCGGCTAATTAAGCAATTGATATTATGCTTTCTTATTCTCCGTTTCCGTACCATAACTTGTGTATATAATAATTAAAACATTATAATGACTATACAAGAAATATCTCGTCACTTTGCTGTCCTATGAAGTTTTGGCTGTTAAAGGGTATGACGTAAGGCAGATTAGTGGTGAGAATGAGTTCTGACGGCAGAAACGTTAAGAGTATAAACTCTTGAAGTACTGAAAGTGTTCTCCCTATGTTGCTCTTATATAAATATTCTATAACAGCCTCTTTAAATTCATATGCCCTAAATTACAATTATAATATTCATTAACGTTACAGTTATTATCACTATTAGTACCATCAATTCCACAATCTGAAGGTAAAGTTTGCAATATTAAGTCAATCAACCCTCTTGCCTTTTCTGGCGAAGTTTCATTAGTAAAGAAAGTATATATTCAAAAATAAATTGAACTTTTTCACAGTCCTCTCTCTTTTGGTTGCCTAGCATAAATGTGCATATCTTTAGCTTAGCAAACAGCCACCGAAAACATCATTGTCTTACGAGATGTGCGTTAAATGCCCCATCACACTAGCAATGTTTCCGTCAGTGTCTGTCCCACGAGCATTCTAATACATATTACTTTAAAGAAATTTCAATATGCATAGCGTATATACAAATATTCTAGAATACTAACTCATGTTTACATTAACTTGTTCTGTGTAATTAATATTTAAAAAATCTAGTTGCATAGATCTTCCGTAGCACAAAACCAAGACGGAAATGGTCGCTACTGTCTCCTTCGGGGAGGTGTTCCTGCAAACGGTACTTGCAGAAAGCCGTTAATTCAGACCGAAACGCAAAAATTGATGGATAAAAAATGCTAATGTCATACGCCCTTCAAGAGCAAACACTCACCTCAACCCAGTTGCACCGACATGTTTTACACGGCCGAAAGAAACACTGATCTCAGCGCCTGGGTAGTGCAAACTCCAGGCATCTAAGAAAGTACCTATTGCGCAATCCTGGGCGAGACTGCCTAGTGACGAGATCTTGATTATAGTCCTTAATATATTATACAAATGAATTATAATCAATCAAATAAGTTTAGTAATTAGCTAAAGCTGGTGTGAGAAACACTGAATAGAATTACTGGTTTCATACATATAATAAGCACAGGAGATGCAAGAACAATTCATAAAGATAATAAAACAATTTTTTATGTACATATTTTCTCTTTAATTTGTAAATTCTTTATACAAATGACTAAGGGGAGATCGACAAGCAGCCTCTTATGTACATTGCAGACAATTAAAAAAAAGCCGAAGTTGTAAGGGACCTTTCATGAGATAAAGGTGGGAAATAAGTTGGTGGAGAGGTATTTACATGGGTGAGAAGTGGGTATGTGGGTATGGCAGTCGAAGGAAAGGTTAACTGATCGGAGGCAGTTGGTGCTGGGGGTTCATGGTGGTTAAAGACTGGAGCATTAAAGGTCACTGGAGCAAGTTATAATGACCTTTTGGATGCTACGTTCAGGGAAAATATCAAGGAGACAACATAGAAACGCATCCTACAGTTGGGAAAAAGTTGTACGTTGCAGAAAGGTTAAGACTAAAAGAAGGATACTACAGATTTTGGGTACTTCAGTACATTGACCTGTTTAGACAATATAGTAGCTGGTTACTCAACAGAATGAGATGTATGTCAACACAGGTAATGATCAAGTATGTACATGAATGATTAGTCATAGGGACACGGAGATAGGCATGGAATCCTTTTTTAAAAGTGGACAAGAACAGAGAACACAAAAAAAGAGAGGAGGATATATTAGTAGATATGTGAGTTGCCTGTGATCTGGAACACAAGGGAAAAAAATGATTGGTTATAAGAACAAAGTTGGAAGAGGTTGGAGGAAGAGGTTGGAGGAACAGGTGGAACAAAATGGATTAATCTTACAGAACATGGGGTTAGGGGATGAAGGAACGGCTAGGATTATGCATGAGAGACCAATCATACCGAGATAGAAGGATGCAGTCCTGGTAACTCCTAGAGACAAATACACTTACGGTGAGTGTGTGGAATGACAGTCTGGCAGACGGGTGTCACTACAATTGTAACAATGAAGATTGATCTCAAGACAAGTGATTACTGACATGATGATAATGCTGGGGGAAACCTGGAGGGGAGTTGTTTACAGAGTAAGTGATCTGAGCTAATGACCAGATATAAGAAAGAACTTAACATTTACAGAGGCTGCCCTAAGGTCTGGTTACAATGTGACATGACCCATTTTTTACATGTAGGGAAAGGGGGAGGGGATGATGAAATGATATGACTGTGATTAAAATGACGTGATGTGGAAAAAAGATGATGGGCTGGGCTGATGGAAAGGCAAATTGGGTGATGCAATCTCGACATCAGCGTGTCAGGAATGGAGAGGAAGAATAAATGTTATGACAATGATGATGTACATATGAATGAGAATGGCTGATTAAAAAGGCAAAATGAAAAATATATATAGAAAACCTATATTTAGACCATTATGAAAGTGGTATAATCAGTCCTAAGTGACACATCAGGTTATAAAACTTTTTTTTTTAAATGCCAGTGGGATACAAAGATTAATAAGCAAGATCCAAGAACACAATCTACTGAAGAACAAGTCCCCAAAGTTTCCAGTTCTTTCAATTAGTGTTGAGGCAAAAGGTGCCTATCATTACCATAAACCTTGAAATGAATGTGAAGCAGCTGATATTCATAATAAAAAATTATATGTACGTATGTATAAATAGGTGCTTAAATATAGATATAAAAGGAAAAAAATAATAAATTTTTCCTGAAGAAATATGGCACATACTCTTGTAAAATAAATCATTTTTCCAGTAGTAATAAAAGGTGGAAGTTCTTGGAGTATGCAAGTTCCTTACAAAAATATTGAAATGTAAAATATCTAAATAGCATGAGATTTACAACACAATTTTGGAAACAATTTACAATAGGCATTTGTCTACTTGTGCCACTTCTTTGGTTACTACTGATTTCTTCAATCAAGACAAAGTGCTCAGCTCTTCTTTTAAAATCAATATCTTAACAGTGTAAGTAAAATAAATATTCACCACATAGCTGCAGCGAAAGTGCAAATGATCCTAAAGTGAAAAGTCGGTTGTGAATAACTATCAAAAATTATATCTGTAGTGGAATAAAGTCAACATTGTTTCATTATAAAAAGAGGACATCTCATATGACACTGGGCTGCTTTGGGAGGAGTCATTATGAGGAAAAATCAACATCACACCAAAAACCAATAACAAGAATAAGAATCATAAAAGAAAATAATCATACAAGCCGTAGAAAGACTTTTTATTTTCAATAAATTAAAATAAAATTCTGAAAACATGGGATGGTATTTGGGGGGTGGGGGTGGGGTGGGGGTAAAGCCTTGTAGAAACAGGGAGTACAAATTGCTACATTATGAGGGCTTCTAAGGTCCAAGACACTTCCTGATTGGTGTTGGGTGGGGGTGGGGGAGGGGGGTATGTGGATGGGTTGGGCATTAGCTTCGTGCTACTTTTGGAAATTTCGGGGAATTCCTGCTAACCTAGAATGAACCCATCTGGCATTATAAAACACCTAGGAGCAAGAACAAGGATTCTGCTCTTCCAAAAATTGGTACTTATTTGCTCATCAAAATGAAAATAAAGGTTTACATTCCTAACACTTTTTTATATATAGTAGTGAAGTTGTCCAGTTGGGAATAGAAATAAAGACAATGCACATAAAAAAAAATCTCGGCCTGTTTTGCCTACATATTATGAATAATGTCTGATCCTTTCCATTACACTATTCCCTTAATCAAATCATGAGTTCCTGCTATAGCAATGTTACCAAACTCATTCCAATTATCAGACAAGCCAAAACTATTCCCACTGGGTATGCTCATGCATCACAACCCAGTTTACCCAAAGCCTACTACTTTTAGCTGTCAGTTATCCTTCCCCACTAACAAAGCAAAACTTTCATGTTCTGCTCATTCTTAAACCACACCCTTCACTTTGATTAAAATGAAAGAAAGAAAGAAAGAAAAAAAAATTAGCTCATCATTATCAGCCTCCAAACACAGCCCATGCTTGTCTTTTAAAAAGTCAATTGCTCTCTCTTTTCATTTGCAATGGTGATGTTTTAAGTAAAAATAAATCACACTCAATACAAAGTTCATCACAAGGTCCATCTGAACATTTTCTGCTGGCAAAAGTAAATTCTGTACTTTCCCAGGGAAATCTATAAAATTTTACATTCTTGACAATACACACCTGCTAAACAAACAGAACTGACACATGTAAAATACAATCAAATATTGTTAAGATCCCAGAACTAACATTTAAGTGCACATCTTGTGTCCACTCAAGCAAACACCAAGAGCCCTTATAGATCTTATCTTCACAAAGATTACTCCAAGTAAAAAAGTCACACAAATTTATATAAAGCCATCAATTCTGCATTTAACTTTGATGGATGCATTTCACTGAACTACAAACTTGCTTGGTAATTTCATTCAATGACTATTCTTAGAAAATTTCTACTATCAAAGCATTTAAATGGTATGTATAAATAATGTTAAAAAGTAACCAAAATAACGTTCCTTTGGTACATTTTGACTGCGTATGAAATATATCCAGAATACCTACTTTTTCCTTAATCAAAAGAAAGATCAGTTCAAAGTATAACCTGACAACTCAATTCTGATAATAAAATTTACATCAATAAAATCTAACTTTCCAACTACAATCAATAAGTACAAACAACAAATCATAAAACTGTGATCATAAATATTTCATGAGATTAAAGGGAGAGTTGAAGACTAAGTATAAAAAGTACTAATATGCTATACTCAAAATAGAACAGGATTTCAGTACAAATCTTTCCTTTTGAAGTAATTCACCAGCCTCAACACTGTGATGGTCAAGCAATATATAAACACAGTTGGCACAGTGCCAAAGATGTCAAAAACATGCTCTATAAGATGGATATCATTAAACATACCCTTACATCAACTACTGGTCACAGCTCATTCCTTTTCAACATCAGCACTCAATGCCATGGTAATATCTATGTTACTCAACTCTCATACCTATTTAATCCAAATATTTATGACTTAAAAGGAGCAATGTATTCAGTTGGTACTTTTGTTTATGATTGTCTTTCCACAAGAACTTCAATTATATCTCCATTTTTTTTTAATCACTACTGATTTAAAACAACTGTATCAAGAAAAGAACAGAAGAGCATGTGCATACCCTTGAATGTTAATGTAGCTTGAAGTTCTGATGAATAAGTTAGTTTCTAGAGTAATTATGCTGAAAGATAATTTTTCCTGCTAAAATCAATAAACATTAACAATATTAAAATTTATAAAACAATAAAATCATGGGAGAAAACATTTGTAAAATCATTCAATAATCAATATAAACACAATTACATTATTGGTTAATTGTAATTGAAACTCCAACCTTGCGCAAAAATCGCAATCAAGATCACCATCACTATAATCAATCACTGCTAATCCAGCCTTGTAAACAATAGCTTCTATCATTGAGCTGCACTGAAAAAATTCTTATATCCAAGTCTTCATGTCCATCCTTCTCGAGACACTGTTCAATGGTGGTGGCCAAGTACCAGTACCAGCTAATATCCTGGGAAGACGAAAAAGATGGAGAGAAAGAATAATTGTCTTTACTTGACAAAAACTTTCCTCACTCTCCTGATGGGGTTACTTAGGTTGCAATCTGCAATGGCCATTTCAATATGCACAACTTTAGCTTTCATTAGACATATGCACTTTCATCTATTAAAAACCATGATTGTCAATGAATCGAAATCTAATAATCACAATCTTTACATTTATGTGTGAACATTATAAGCCTAATGAAATTGAGATGAAAATTAAGGTTCCTGTGAAACAGATTTCCATTATAATTACTAATTCTTCTTTCAAACTGTAATCATCTACTTTGGAATATGATTGTAGCAGAGAATGAAAATGTGTATGGCTATATTCAATACCAGGATGGGAGGTGTATAAATACATGAAATATACACAGAACAGGAATGTTGGAGGCAGGTGGAACAGCGTGTGTGGGTCCTGGTTTGCGGGGCTGTTGGTCTACTGTGAGCCTTCCGAGTTTCTAAGGGCTGTGGAGGCATGCCAACTCCTACCCAGGGCTTGTGGTTGATGAGTTACAGGGCTGGTGTAAGTGGTGGTGAGGCGCCTGACAAGACTGTTCTGTAAGTGTTCTGTGGGGAATATTTGATGATGCCATCTTTGGCTCACTTTTTTCTTTCACTAAGAATCAGGAAATAAATTCTCCTCAATTTATGTTTTATAAGAGCATAATTTCTTTCAATTCAAAACAATGAATGCTCTTAAATGCCCATCTTCTAAAAGAAAGGAAAAAAATAAAACAATTTTGAGTCACAAGGGCAACAAACAAGCTACTGGCATTACCACAGCCACAGCAATTGTCCATGAATGCCCCAGCTGCACTACACTAAGCTTTTTATAATGTCTTATTTCAAGTCATGGCTCCTAAAAGAAACATTTGTGACTAGCATAGGTGCACACTTGGCAAGAATTGCCCAGTTCTCTTATGAAGAGGTCAGTACCTTGGTCAGTTCAAATTTTCTTGTTAATATTTCATTTTCCAGGTTGCTTTGACCTCCTTTATATCTCATCTGGACAGTTCAGCTTGGCACAATGTCACACGTCACCACCTTCACACTTATCAATGTTCTTCAGTTCAGTTATGTCCTGCTGCTGCTCTAATGTCTTGGTCGACAAGTTCACACATACATACAGACAAACATGAAAAACACACTCAAATTCTTAGGCATCTGCAGCAGGCTGTTAGTACTTCACACACTGATTTCATAGTTCATATCATATGCTGATCGTCGGTCAAGATCTTGTGGTGTTGTCAGACGGTGGTCAGGCTTGGGAGTGTGTGTTGGGCTGAGCGTACCCCCATGAGACCTCTGGCTATGTATCACTGCATGGTGACCTTCATGTGGAGGTCCATGAGGACCTTGATGATGGGGAGGACCTCGTGATGACATCTCTATACTGTCCATCATATCTAAAGACCTCACAAAAGAAACTGGTCTCTTCTGACCAGGACTTGGCCGACCACTCTCTGTTGGTGTAGGAGGAGTAACAAGACCTCCTGCATAATTCTTTCGTCTGATCTGTGGTGACTGTGGCCCAACATAACTTGGTCCTGAGTTGCGTCGCCCAACCATCTGTTGCTGGGGTGGATATCCCTGGTGGCCTTGGTGGCTCATGTGCTGATTGTATGATGGCTGATGAGTTGGGGGATAATGGCCACCATGTGGACCTGCCATTTGACTATGGTGTATTGGTGGATAATAATGAGGTGCAGGACATGTTTGAGTTGGACTTGTTGGGTTTGATCTATACTCTTGAGAGCCACAAGTCTGGTAGACAACGTTAGGGTTACTGGGACCACCTTGACAATACTGAGGAGGTGACTGATCCCTCCAAGTGTACTGACCATGTTGTGGTGAACCAGCTAATTCTTGAATGTTATCAAACATTGTAGTGGTACGAGGATATTGTCCACCTGTTTCTGGTGGCTGCCGTATTAACTCTGATTCTGACATGTACCGACGTTGTGGTGAACCATTCTGGTGTGAACTATGAGGTGGTTCATATGAGTACTGTGGGTAGTACTGTGGTGGAACTCTGTTTCCTTCATTGCCAATCCCAATGAAATCAGGACGTCGAGGTTGTGTAGGAGTACTGGGGTTCGATCGACGAAGAGGAGATGACATGGCCAGAGGTGTTGGAACCCCTCCCAGCTGTTTCATGCGATGATGTAACGTTGGAGAACCTGGAACACCCTGGTAGACCTGCTGACCACTAGGACTAGATGGTCCTGTGCGTGGACCCCCAGGGACTGGTGGAGACGTCTGCATTGGGCGGTCTGGAGATAGAGGGTCTGGAGTCGTGGATCGTGACCGCCCGTCCAAGCCTCTGTTAAACAAAACGGGATCATTTACATACCAACTCAAAATATAGAGCCACACTAAAGGTAATTTCAATGAACCTCAGATAACAAACCATATCATATTCTACAAACCGCTCAGACCAGCAGACACTAAATCACAAACTGCATTGTTTGTGCACATCGCTGTGTTTCTATGTGGGTGTGCATGTATCAGCAGGCCTAGAGAAGCATGCTGTGGTGTGCTGTGTGTGTATGTGTGTGTGTGTGTGTGTGTGTGTGTGTGTGTGTGTGTGTGTGTGTGTGTGTGTGTGTGTGTGTGTGTGTGTGTGTGTGTGTGTGTGTGTGTGTGTGTGTGTGTGTGTGTGTGTGTTTGAGTGTGAGTGTGAGTGTGAGTGTGAGTGTGTGAGTGTGAGTGTGTGTGTATGTGTGTGAGTGTGAGTGTAAGTGTGAGTGTAAGTGAGAGTGTGAGTGTGAGTGTGTGTGTGTAGGTTACATCTGCATAGCATTGAAAGTTGGCTTGCTATATTATGAAGAAAAAATTGCAAACCTTCAGAATGGGTATCTTCTGAGTATCAGCAGTCTAAGAAGCCTCACATGCAAAAGCAATAGACCTTTAATATATTCTGGAACACTCATGCTATAGCTACAATGCAATTCAAAGCAGTTAACTCACTGATAATGCTTCAAATTTGCATTCCAATATGCTAATTTCAATGAGGTCATTAGCCCCAGAATATTACAACCAGCCACTGTAAGTCAGGTATTCATTTTGCTAATTCTAAAATTTTGTTCAGCTTTCGAAATTGTTTCCAAAAAAGAAAAAGCTTTTGTTCATAAAAATCTGAAACTAGTAACCTAAAAAGTAAAAAAATATTTGTAAGCACACTTTATGCCACTATTCAACTTCAAAATTTTGAACCATTTTTAGATGGGTCTTATTCTCCTTTATGTAAAACTATTCTAATCTTGTAAAAATTACTAATCAACATGTGCACAGAATTATTTCTTTATTAAATTCAATTATTTAGAACTTCATGATCCCTTTCATGAAGCTCAATACCTTCCTCCTCAGAAGTTGAACCAACCTACAAAGCAAAATTTCAGGCAGTTCTTACCGTGGTCTCGAGGAGTTTGGCGATCGCGGGGGCCTTGTGACCTGCTGATTAGCATTTGCCTTACGAGGGGAGTCCACGTACGCGTGGTGGTGGTGGTGGTGATGGTACGACGGGTGGTGATGTGTGGGCGGTGCATCTGGCTGGAAGAAGTTAGTCTTCGAGGGATGCCTGGGCAAGGGTGGTGTGGGTTCGCAATCCTGACTCTGACTCATTCCAGGAGGGGGCTGGCTGTTGTCATCACACTCTCCTGCCCCGCCCGTGCTCACTGTGACCGAAGATGATGCTCCGGCCCCTCCCCCCTCCACCAG